ATTCTCTTAATGAATAGAGGGATTTGTTCTAATGGTGTTTGTAAATAGGATATCAAGTCTGCATCTTGTACAGCAATTAACCACTAGGAAGAATGTATCCAATGTGTTAATTATTGAAACTGTCCTACCACTTTGGTTTGAAACTGTCTCACTGCTATTTATTTCTCAATAAAATTATGGAAAAATTGAATAAATAAAGAGGAAAAAAAAATCCAGCTTTTGAGACACAGCTCTGGGAAGTCTGAATAATAGTGGAATTACTAACTTTTTTAGGTAAAATTATGTTTTAAAAAGTTATTTTACTCTTTGGGTTTGGGCCTCCTCGCATCGACATGGCTAAGCACACCAAGAAGGTCAGCATTGTTGGTAAATACGGGACTCGCTATGGTGCCTCCCTCTGGAAAATGGGGAAGAAGACTGAAATCAGCCATTGCGCCAAGTACACCTGCTCCTTCTGTGGCAAGACCAGGATGAAGAGGTGGGCCATGGGGATCTCGCACTGTGGCTCCTGCATGAAGACCGTGGCTGGTGGCGCCTGGACCTACAATACCACTTTGGCGTTCACAGTCAAGTTAGCCATCAGAAGACTGAAGGAATTGAAAGACCAGTAGAAGCTCTTACTATTTGAGACATCCCTAGCCTATAATAAATGGGTTAATTTATGTAAAAAAAATTATTTTAGCTAGATACAGCAGCACACACCTGTAATCCCAGCACTCAGGAGGTCAAGGCAGGAAATCACTGTTTGAGGCAAGCCTGGGCTACCTAGTGAGCTTACAGCAGCCTGAACGGCATAATGAGACCCTAGCTCAAAAGAAAAAAATTAATTATGGATGACACCAAGACATTTATAAAGGAACTGATGAGGTTGTCTAGTGTGGGATGCAGACTAGAGTGCCCTCAGGCCTTGTGATGGTCTAGCTGGTTTATCATTTTCTCTGCTGGCTTATATTTTAAGTTTTCAAAATAACAAAAGAAGCAGTACAGTCACTACCATTATACATGTGAAGCCCCAGTTCCACAGAGCAGGTAGGGAGGTGAGGAAAGAAGGCAGACACCATGGCAGAACTTCTGACAGATGGCTGGAAAGCAGACACTGGATCAAACACACTAACTGAACACTTTCAGAAACTCTGAGGGTCGCAGAGATAGCTCAGTGATCTAAGCACCTGCCTACGCAAGCGCAAGGACCCAGGTTTGATCCCCGGTACCACATGCCATGCTGGCCTTCCCCAGGTGTGCCAAGCCAGCCACCAAGAGCAGGGGTGGTGGCATATGCCTGTAATCCCAGCACTGGGGAGGCTGAAACACTAGAATCACTAGGAGACCCTGTACCAAATACATAAAAATTAACAACAACGACAACAAAAATCCTCTGGACACGGTTATGTCTGAAAACACTCTTCACCTTATGATGAATGTGACCTTTTTATATTCTTAAAGCTCATGCCTGTAATCTCAGCACTCAGGAGGCTGAGGCAGGAGGACTGCTGTGAGTTCAAGACCAGCCTGGGCTACAAAGTGAGTTCAAGGCCAGGCCAAACTGCATAACAAAACCCTGTCTCAAAGACCAAAAAAGGAAAAACACTGCAGCGAAATAGATGTTCCCTCTTAATAAGAGCCAAATTAATCCAGCTCAAGGGTAAAAGGGACACAAGAATCATAACATCCCAAAGAATAACTTGAAGGCATGCTGCGTGGCCACCGCAGTTGCCAGACAGGTCCAGCAGCACTCACCTCCTTAGCGCTTGTGAAGGCAACACCAGAAAACGCGTATCTGTCCACAACCAGGGTCACACCTTGGCACAGCTTCTCCTTAATTAATGGCCTGAAAAACAATTAACAACTCATAAATCCCCATGTTGAGTGTGGTGGTGCATGTTTGTAATCCCAGCACTTGGGAGGCTAATTTTGCTGCAAGT